CGGGGATCCTTCCTTATTCTGCCACAGCCCCAGTGATTAACTCAACTTTCCTGCCTTGTGCCTCCCCTGCACGCTAGAGATTCACTCTTAAAGAAAGTCTTTCAAGTTTTCCCAGTGAAAAGCATTCTACAAACTACTGTTGCTGTTTTATGAGCAAAAACTGTACCAGAAGAGATTCATAAAAGTAATATGAATAGAAATTTCAGGATTTTCCTGCCTCTGGTGTGTCTCCCCAGCCCCTCTGTTGGACAGTTCTGTGCTATCCCTACACTTCTCAAATCTTTCCATCCTTCCCTTGCCAATCTTCCTTCACAGCTCTAACCCTCACAGTAATCTGCCTGAATAGCCCTTAAATCCTGCTAGTTTAAACCAAAGAAATTAGAAGACTTCATCCACGTGACTTCTGTAATTTCAGCTCATTTAGGATCGAATTATTTAGAAATATATAGAAATATAAAAGTAAATTAAAGCATCATTGAAAACCTCATTATTTAATAACTACAATCCAAGCTTCAAATAAGATTAATTTCAATGTATATTGAATAATTTCAATATAATTTTTCTCTATCTGTTCCTTTTAGATCATTTTAAGCACATTTTAAATGTGCACAGAGCAACAAAAAAAAAAAATCCCAAAACAGACCCTTCCAAATCAAATCAACTCAACATCTGTTCAAATATGCAAACAAAATACATTATTATGTCATAAATAGAGGCTGGTTTTGCTGTTAAGTGCGTTAGGAAAGATATCTTCTTCCAGAACCTATTCAGAAAACACATTAAATTCAATTTTTAGTTTATGGATTTTCAAACATGTTTCTGCTGGTATAAAAAAAAAAAAACCCAAAACCAAAAAAGTCTGACAATTAATAGGATGCTGAATAAGACTTGGTTCCCAGCAAAGCCATGAATAAGTTATGTTTGAAAATGTATTTTCAGATCTTGATGAATTGCATCAAGGTAATTAAAGGTGAGACTTGATTAGCTGACATGTTTCCAAACATGAACATTCTTGCCTGTACTCCAGGCAAAAATTATGGTGAATGTTTTTGCAAATTTTCTAGCATGATGAATTTTTCTCAAGTATAATCTAGGCCCAAAGGGGCCCAACTTTCCTGTTAATTGGAATACAAATGAAATCTGTCATTCAGTAATTGAGGTACACGATGACATATGGAGAACAGTATGCATTCATCAGAGCTCTGTGTTTATGTGGCAACTTGTGGACTGCTGAGCACACACAGTGCTCATCCCCTTAAAAAAATCACCTCTGTCAGAATCCATCTTGTTCCACTCACTAACTTCTGCCAGAGGACACACTCACACACACATATATATATATATATATACACACACACACATACACACAACACTCACACATATATATATATACACACACACACATACACACACACTACACTCACACCTTTAGAGTACTTCTCCAGCTAAACATTGCTGTTCTATGCTCACAATGACTACAGCACAAAGACCACGACAGAGGTCATATATTTTGTGATATATTTGGGGCTGGTCTGCCCCAGGAGAATCTGTACCTCATCATCCAAGGGCAGAATTGGGTCTCCATTTCTAACAATGACTAAATGATATGTGGCTGTTTCAAAGACTTTTGGAAGTGCCCTGAGGGCCTCCAACGACATCAGTGTAAAGAGTATTTGCTGCTAATCTTAATTAATTTACCAGCTTGATCTCTTACAGCAAACTTCCATTTACTATTAGCAAACCCATCAGCAGTAAATACAGAAAAAAATAAATACTGGGGTTCCTGGCTGCACATTATGTAGATTTCAAACTCACCTCCCTGGAGTGAAATTACAGGCACCTGGCAGCCTTATCAGAAATTTCACTGGGACAGAGATTTTACTTCACAGCCTTAGCTTAGGTTAATTTGTATTGTGGTAATGAAGTTGTGAGAAGATCTTAGCAACCCTTCTTTTCAAAACACTGCAGCTGGTAGAGAGGAGCAAAATTTTTCAATTGAATTTTTTTCAGCAAATAGTGTAAACTTCAGCTTCATTTTGCTGAACTGCCTTGTGTAAAAACAAAAGAAGGAGTGAAAAGCCTGGAGTTTTCATCTGAAATTACTTAATGCCACTCCATTTTACTTTTCAATATTAACAATACACTCAACTCTGGTATGTTTTTCTTTGGAAGTAAATGTTCTGATCAACCAGAAACTAAACTCTCTCAAATTTTGATTCAGCTATGGTTTTGAACAACCTAAACCAATATTTTTTTTTTTTTTTTAAGGAAAAGTTTTCAGAATTAATAGCAAGATGAAATATCAGTTACTCAACGCAGGTCCAACAGCAGGGGACAAGAAATTTAACTTTGAAACTTGATATTTTAAATATTAGACCAAAGCATACCCAGCCCATACGTAATTTCCTGATCTTGTTCCCAAAAATGTTAATGCAAGCTCTTTCATCAGTGGGATCTGCAAGCACTGACAGCAATTGCAACAGGCCCCTGAAATCCACAACAAGAAGAAAGAAATATACTTTCTGAACTAGTAAAACTTTAATTAACAGGGGGTTCTCTTGGCACAGTTTTTGCTGTTAAATAAATAAAGCATTTAGTCAAAACCATCTATATTTACTATACAAAATACTGAAAAGCAAACATATTTAAAAGATACGGAATTTAAGGTTCTGTGAAAAGAAACTGTGCTACATGTTATTCACACTTATGATGCACATAACACAACTGCAACACAGTATTTAGATACTGTATATTCATACATGGCTGGTGTAAGGTTTTCATAAGGGGATGCCATGTTATTAAAATGCATTTGTGTTTCACAGACTCTGAGCAAGGCAGAATTTGTCTTTTGAATGTCCAAATATAATAAAGCAGAACAAACCAGTGCCAGGCAGTAACAAATGGTGAGTTGTGTTCCACGTCAGAGCCCACCTGGCACAGCCAGCACTGCGCACCTCTCAGCCAGATGGGATTTTGGTCACGGTGCTGGTTTCTTTTCCAACAAAATATCTTTGGGTGAAGGAGCAGTTTTACCCCTTTGCTGCCCTTTCATAGAAAACCCCACAATTCTGAAAGCACTCAAGTTTTCCAGAATGTTTTCTGGTTTTCAGTAACAATCTGCATTTAAAAAATTGACTAAGAACAATTTCCACCTCTCAGTCTTTGTGGCATATGCTCTACTGAAAAGAGAACAGCTTTAATTACTTCTTCAAAACAAATAGCATGGCATCCCTTCTTAGATGGAATGTACACTGTGTGTTCGCATGCGGTATAATGTAAGTCACTTGAATACATCAGACTTCTTTAACACTATCATATAAATAAGCTTATTCCTTCTACTAGACATATAAATGCCTTTTTTTTTTCTTTTTGCAGTCCATAATTATATATACATTGAAAAAGAATGATACACAAGCAGCAAAAAAGGCTTAGACTAGAACAACTCAGTGGTAACTAACCAAATTCGTGGCCTTTTCATATTCTCAACACAGAAAATTCTGCATATAAATATTTTTGGACTTTAGGAATTTCAAAATAAACAGAACAGTATAGTTGTCACACAGATCAAACACATTTTAAAAACATTTTGTTAGATTTTACAGAACACGCTGTTGACAGCTAAAAAAAGTGAAATAAAATAAACCAGATTTTTAAAAGGGGACAATAAGTCTAAACATCTGCTGATCCAGGGAGACAAGAGACGGGCCTAATTATCATGAAGCAGTGATTCTATTCCAATTCCACGAGAAGGCAAGGCTTCCCACTGTTCTTTACAAGGTGGTGTCTCTGTGTTCTTAGAAAGGACAACATGCCCCTAGACCTGGTCAACAGCAAGGTAAGAACCCATTTTGGACTGATCAAAACTCTAGTCAGAAAACAAAAAATACCCCAATCATAAAGGGCTTATAACAATGTCGGATAGTTACATTTTACAATATATACTATTGACAAAATACCACAACATTAAAAATAATTAAAACCAAAGCAAATACATTTATAGAACAAATATGTCTTTATGTAGGAGTTCTCTACTTTAATGTTCCAAAAGAAATGTAGGTGTTTTCCAGTCACTTTCTACCTGCAAAATGGTGATCTATACAAAACCCAACTGAATCTATTTCAAATCTGGGCTCCACAGAAAGCAAAGCATCAATTCTACTGACCCTTTTAATTTAATTTTTTTTTCAATTTTCCAATTTTCTTTTGACCTTCAAATTTCTCAGCAACCATTAAGGTCTTGTGAGTGTGGTCTGATGTCCCTTCACGGAATGGAAACCCTTTGACATGGAAAAAGTAGAAGAATCCAGAAAGATTGTGAATTATATTTTTATACACATCTCTAAAATGGGAGAAGCACAAATTGATAGGTGCTTGGGAAACTCAAACTGGAGGCACCAAGAAAATGCCATGACATATGTTTCTAAAAAGTCACTGTTGTGGAAAAAACAAATATAATGTTAATATTCAAACCACAGATTTCTAAAACACAACAAAATGTACCTGAGAGTGTGCATATTTATATATATATATTTATATTTATATTTTATATATATTTGCCAACATTTAAAGTGAGAAAGCATATTTTCCTCAATTCTTTCTCAAAACAAAGAACTGTGGATTTAAACAAAACAAACCCCCCCAATCAATCCCTCTCCTTCTCAAAGCCCCATGAATGATATTTATGGCCCAAGCACTAAAGTCTAGTGCTGCTCTGGAAAACCCCATTTCACATCCTTCTCTTTTCAAATAGTACCCCAAACAGAGTGGAGAATAAGCAAGAGAAAAAACAAAAATAAAAGAAGTATATTTAAATATTACCCAGTATATAACAGACTGTACTTGTGTCAATGAAGAATCTCCAAGAAAATAAAGTGTTAAGTCATACAAATGTAGCCCTGTTGACAAGTTTAGCTAATATTTCCTTGTAATTAAGATGATTTGAAAGGATGTGAACACAAACAGGCTACATGAACACAGTATATTAAAATTCCCCCCTGTAGCACATTACAATCAATAAAAAGAAAATAAAATCTGAATAATACTAGAGGTAGCAGCTGTTTGTATTTTCCATTATCTGAGTATCTCTGGAGTCCAACCCTTCGAACATTGCTCCCCTGATGAAAGGCTTGTGTGCGATCAGCCGACGTACAGCAGAGTGGAAAGCTAGATGTCTGCAGGAGTGTTTGAAGTATCTTTCTGAGTACAGTGGAAGTAGTACTTGTACAGAAGTGCGTTGACGACCTGTATTAAATCACAGCTCAAAAAGCTATGGCTGTTTGCTGTTTTACAAGCCACTTTAAAAAAAAAAAGAAAATCCACAAGGTGTTTGAGTAAGCTATGCAGTTTCACAACATATAAATAGGGTGAGTTTCAAGAGTTCCATATAACCTCTAAAATATATGCTAGCTGAATATTAATGGAGTAATGATAATATTAATCATAGTAATGCCTTAGTTCTGGTATCACAAGAATGTGTTTCCTTCATTTGGGATGATTCCTGGAGGATGTTGGTGGGATCTCTTCTATGTCTGGTAGAAGTGGTGGTAGTGGTGGTGGTGCTCGTGATGGTGGTGGTGCTCATGTCTTTGTATCATCTGTCCCACCTGGCCTTCATATAAAATGACTGTGGGCAGGTCTCTCACGTGTTCCTTTTCCACAACTGTCCCTGGAGACTGAAAGGTTTTGCACATTTGGTGATTCTCCTTTGCCCTCTGCTTATGCTTCTTGTGGATCTGTTGGGATTGCAGGGGAAGGTACGGGAGGTTCTGGCCCACCCGTGCACTTGGGGAAGCCATGGGCAAGGGCACCCCTTGAAAAGGTTTATTTCTAACTGCCCTTCCAGGATGCACAGGGGCGACATTTTTGCCCTGGGCTTTGGGAGACCTCACAAAGTGCTTGCTGGAGTCCTGGTTCCGGAGCCTCTGTTGGATTTCTGCAATCTTGGCATACGAACTTTCAGCCAGATTGATGTGGTTTGGATCCACCACTTGAGATTTCCTATGGTGAGCATGGAAGGTCTCAGGCTCATGAGAACGGGATCTAGTTTGATTCACAATTCTGCCTGGTGGGTCATGTTTTTGAGCTGCTGGAGGAGATCCTAGGAAATAACAAGCTGAGTTAGTCATCTAGTATTTCAAAGTTTTAATTAGTAGCATGCAGTTGGCAGGGATAGCATTATCGGCAGAACAAATTTTTCCTAAGGAAGTGAATGCAATTATAGCTGTCTAGTTTAATTACTTTTAATAATTCTGGCCAGTAAATAATACACAAATATGAATACCTATCTAGAGAAGACTGAACATATGTGTTGGTGTGTGTACGTGTATTAAAATCTTTATGTTACCAACTCTTGGTCATCAAATTAACTGTGAGGGGAATAGTAAAACCCTGGCAGAGGGCAGGGAAGTGAACAGAATCCAAATCTCTTTGATGTAGGGACTAGAGCCAAAATTCCAGGTACAAACACACATTCTCCTATTTTTGGGTCAGTAAAGAGTATAAAATATGTGCTGGTCTCATCTTGGGAACAAGCTCCAACATTCAAAAGTCAATCCTTACCTCACCCGTAGACTAAACTTAATAATTTAGATGTAAAGATTGTTCTCCTAGGCCCAGCTCCAAGTTTAGCTACACAAACAAGTACATCAAAGCAGCCTTGCAGCACATTAGCCACTCTGTTGTGATACCACCTTCACCAGTAATTATCTTGCAGTATTCACAGTCCTATTATTGAGTCACTATACACAAATCACACAGCTTCACAATTCACTGTCCCTGACACGGAACATGCAACTGAAGAGATAAAAGATTATGAGGTTACAACTTAAATTACCTGGCCCAAACTTTGATGTGTAGTTTTCTATTCCTGCAAGATCCAAATAGTGGTTTCTCCTTTCAATGTTCTCATCAACACAATGACGGTAGCACCCACTTTGCTCTGGATTGTTCTCACTCTGGTGGTATCTGTCAGCAGGAAGCAAAATTACAATTCAGCAGAACTTCTTTAAAGTCCTTATCACCATCTGCAAACCAACAACTAATGGACCCTTTGAAGTGACAGGAGCTGCTCACAAAGAAACAACAAACACTTGAAATTGTGGATGACCAGACTTGCTATGACGATAGGCCTAAACTGACTGTTCCTTCCCCTCGTATAAATCAGCCCTGATGTTGCAAAGCAAAGGAGGCTTTCCAATTGCATCACATGTGCAAAAGCAAATAAAACCACTCCTAGCATTTATTTCTTTCTGTCTTAGGGCCAAACCATTCAACTGATTCTGCAATTAGGACACACCAAAGAAAATCTGCTGTTTGATTCATGACCATTCCCACCACTGTGAGGAAGTGCTGGGGCAATCCAGATCAAGGTCCATGTGCTCCTGCTTCAGAGAGGCAACAGCACAGGTGTAGTAACTAGAGAGAGACTGGGAAGAGAAGGTGTTGGTAGGACACTCAGAGGTAACTGCTGCTTTCCAAAATATAATTAATAAGGTCAGATCAGACACTGGCTTTAGAATCTCAACTCCTTTTCCTGCTCAGCTTTGCAATTTTATTTATAGCAGAACTATTTCCTGAGAATGAATATCTGAAATACCATTCATTTATGAGGCAGAAAAAAAAACAGGCAGAAGTTTACAGTATTGTAGCCCATAATGCCAAACAATTTTATTCAGCAATTTAAATGGCAAGTCTGCAAATATGAACAATATTTTCAATATAACAAACAGTATAAGCAGAAAACCCTTGATTAAGTTGCTGCTTGTCATTCAGACAATTCAGTCTCCAAGACCAGGAGATTGGCTTTGCTATTTCTCTGATGTCAGCCTAACACCAGAATTTGGCCTTGTATCTTACACCAGTTGTTAAATATGGGCTCTGTACTGTATGGTGGCCAGTACTCTGCTTTTAGTCTATTAACACATTTGCAGGTTTCCAGAGGCTGCTGATCCCTCTGAGCTTTGGCACAAATGGCTTTCCTGGTCTAGTTTGTACTGTTCAGGGATATCACAGAACTGAGGCCCCTCATGTCTCTGTCAGACACAGGTCTGCAGTGTTTTTTATCAAAGTCACAAGACTTGACCTAACTGGAAGATCATTTTTGCTCTACTTTGATAGAGCTAGAGTCTCCTGAATGGAGGAGAGTCTGCCTGGAAAGCAGGTAAGGTTTGAAGATTCTAGTCAGCTTTGAAAAGTGACATGGGCTACTCTCAAAAAATAAAAAAAAACAAAAAACCCCAGAATGTCCAGATATTCTTTACATTTTGGATACCTAACCAACTCAGTACCTTTCCTGTATCAGACACAACTTTACACGTTGTTGCACTGTAGCATGTCAATATAAAAGATCTCTGGGCTAGAACTTGCCTAACTGCAGTTGCCAGACATGAATCACCTACACAAACCACTGGGACTCGAACACATGTGCTGAAGACAATTCACAGCTAACCCAGAAAAAACATCATTGAGTTTGATCCAACACAATTAAGCAATACTGCATACAGCACTGCTCTTGGAAATGAAGCTAACAGGGAACCTGTTATTTTGTTACTGTAATAAATTAAATCTCTCATCAAGACAGAGGAAAAAAAATTATGCCAGTACTGCCACAGCCCTACATTCTAATAGCTTTCTTGCATGCAAGATGACGTTCAACAATATTCATGCAAATATACACAGTGAAGCAATTACACTCTGGTGAGAGAAGTGCTCCACTGTCAAAGGGAACTTCAAGGACTTCTGAGAACTGAAGTGTCTGGCATCCAGGCCCTCAGTGCTGTCCTGCAAACACATGGGAGGACTTGGGCAGGCACCAACCATGCATGGAGGACTGCGTAAAAATAGAGTGTTGTTACTGGGCTTGGGCTTGGTATGGTTCTGGTTTTAATAAAAAATGGCATCTGCTGGAGTGTTTGTGGAGTGTATGGAAGTCCTTTCTGAAATTCCCACGCTGATGTGTCATCCTGATGGCACGAAGCACACAACAACATAGCAGGAAAGGGGAATGGAGCACAGGGCAGAAAATGCAGGGACATCCCCTGAGAGCCTCACTCACTGAGAACACAGAGTTTAAGTCAGCCAGGGAGAACCAGGCTATCTAGCCTTGAACCCAGCTACTTATCTTGGTACTCTTATTAGCCCTACAGGTGAAAACTCCTGCTGTAGCTTCCAGCAAATGAAAAACCTAACCCATCTATATCCCAACCTTCAGGATAAAAACATTTCTATCCATTTTATCTTGAATATTAATCACATCTTGCCTAGAATTCCTAAGTGACTGAACATGTGAAATGTGTGCACTTCTCACAAGTTCTCATTGCTGCTCTCAAAGGGGAAGCAACTGCATTAATATTGTGAGATTCTGACCTGAGCCTCAGCAGCTTTCCTGAGGGTTGTCAGCTTGGCCAGAGTGCACAAACATGCCTGAAACACACACAGTGTGAACTCTTCATCCTGTCTACGTGTAGTGGGATGCAACAAGAACTGGCAGCTGCTGACCACTGTCTGATGCTGATCTACTCAGCTCAAGACGCAGATTTGTTCTGTGACAAAGCCTCTCACCAAATGAATGAGGACAAACATTTTGTCCCATCATTTGATGCTTCCATGACTGTGGATTTAATTGTAAATGCCTGCTGTTCATAAAAACCCTGCATTTGCAGAGCCAGGACTTTAAGGTGGATAAGAAGGGGACTTCAAACTGAAAGGGGATTTTTTCACTAGATTATCAAACAAAACCAATCTATTGAATTCACACAGGGCAAAACTTTGCTAATGGGCAGAGGGAATCTGCACACCACATCTAGGCCAGCAAGTAAAACCACAGAGTATTCTTCAGTTCGTAGAAGATTCTGTGCAGAGTTGCTGACACAAGATTAATAGCAATTTCATTCTTCTTTTAATATGAAATTTGATTGTACTGGGATTTGCTGACTGGGATAATTCACTAGCATTTTTTCTCCATCCAAAAAAGGGAGGTACTGTTCTCTTGTCAGTTTCAATAAGACTGAATGCTCCTTCTCCTGATAAATTTGCTATGTATCCAGACAAATATCCCTAAATCTAAGGAAAGCCAAAAGTGTGTTGTTTTTTTTCTTTTTTAAATTTGCAGCTGAAGAAACAAACATAACTAATGAGTCAATGTCATTACTGTAACATTTCAGCACACACTTCCCACTGCCTTATGAGCAGTTTCTGTTATGAAACATAAAATCCTAAAATATGTCAAATATACACCAAGATGACCTGTTAGCATTCTGCTTGGGTTATGAGCTGGTAACCAAGTTAGCCCATGCAAAACATGGCACTATTTGAGTTGATGAGTGAAAAAGATGGGTTGGAAGGAGGCCAGAGAAAGGCAGGAGATGGCTCCTAAGGAGTGGAAAAGGTTTTAGGACACTTTTAGCCAAAATAACTTTGCTATTAACCTCATTTATTTGCACATGGCATCTAAAAAGATAATTCAGATCCTCCAAAGAGCTCATAGAAAAAGAAAATTCTGGGTTTTTCTTTTTTGTATGTTTTAATATAAGTATCCAGCTGTGGAATCTGCTCTTAAGTCTACAATGAAAACTCCTTTAATTCTTATATTTTAAAATAATTTTTAAAAATTAAACAAGCAAGCAAGACATCAATGGTTGAGGTTTCCTCACAGATATGCAGTGCTGTCAGGAGCCAGGGTTCATTCCCCTTACCTGAGGGAAGCCCTCTGCTTCTTCTCAGAGCTTCTGGCTTCTTCATTAGCTTTGTTTTCAGCTCTGTGCCTGGCACTCTGCAAATCTGTCAGGAGAAAGTACATTATTGTCACATTGCTGTCCTTGCTGATCAGCACAACCAACATTCTACATTGCACACACGTCTGCTTGTGTCAGTAAATCAGATGTGATGTATCACTTCATGTAACTTTCAGTCCAAAGGACAGATTTTATTCAGATGCTACCTGGGCTGCAGGATCTCAGCCAGGGTTAGGCTTACCCTGCACTCCACGGGGCAGCCCAGCTGGAGCCACACTCACTGACAGGCTCGGAGCTGTCCTAATGCACCACGGGGCTCCCCAGCAGTGGGAACTTGCTTGTGTCTGCTCTTGAGAGAGTGACTGCTTTATTAAAATTGAGGTGACCAGGTTCTCCTTTTAGATCTCATGCCTACATTTTCTATTGAAGTATTATTTTAAATACTTTAAAGTATTTTGATTTAGTACTATTCTACCTACTGAAGTAATTATGCTGATACAATTATTATTACAGTGAAGATAAGTTAGATGAGCCATCATGGTACAAACATTTTTATAATGGCAGACCCTTCCAGCACAGAAAATGTACAATTTTTATGCTCAGATTATTTGAGTTTACTTATGATTAATTGTTTATTTCTACCCAGCAGCACTGGTAGCTATGCACTGGCAAGAAACATTTTATAACCCCACACCTCCTTCCACACAAACCAAGTGCTGCAACATCAGCGGATAAAGTGGTGCAAGTCAAGAAGGCCTTAGATCTGCCTTGCAGTGCACATTTACACTACATATGGGTTACTGCTGCTTCCAAAAGAAGCCATCCATCAGAAGGGGAACCCTCATTTGCTAATGAGACTCTGAAAGGAGGGCAGGTAATTTTACAGTCAAGATCATAAAGCAGGCTCATGGGGTTTAAAAGACCCACATAATTATTTGCCTTTAAGTATACATGTACTTGTATTAACAAAATACAGAGATGGATCTTCAAGGGACTCTGGAAGTTTTTGTATTTTTTCTAATGGCTGATTGCACATCCTTACCAGTATGATTTAACAAGATACTCTTTTTCTTCTGGCTGCTGTCTGGTGCCACAGTAAGTTTCACTCTCAGAGTTTTGCTGGAACTAGGAGAATGGTTTACTGATGCATCAACTACCTCATAGATGGTATGAAGCAAGCTGGTAATGTCCTGGAGTAGGATTGAAACACAGAAGAACACAGCACTGTGAAAATGGCACGAAACTCACAGCTCTGATGCTTACAATTGTTTTGGATTTGACACTATTAAAAGCTGAGGTATCCTCAGAAGCCACTGAATTTAGAAGACTTGAACTTGCATGGAGTGTTACAATCTTCATCAAATGGGTTTATGAAGTGGGGCGAAGCAGATCAAAGCAATAACAACAGCACAAGATCTGCAGGTTTCCCAAGCTCTGAATCAGCAAAATGGTATTCTGCCTTCTCTTTTCTTTGATTTACACAGAACCCAGGGATAATCATTCATTCTCCACTAAAAATTGACTTCACGTGGCCAAAACAAATACATCAATTGAAGAAAATCTTGGGCATTACAGTCTTCCTATTTGTTTGGTGGTTTTTTGTTTTTTTTTTTTTTTTTTCCTTAGCATAGTTAAATGGTTTATTATCTAAAGGAAAATCAGTAACAGAAGTGGCAGAACTTCAAACCTCAGGTTTGGAAAGAAATTATGCCTGTCTGAATATCATCCTACTATCTGTGTTTTGGGGTTTAGCTTATTTTGCAAAATTCAACCAGTTTTAAATGCATATTTTGAACTGCAAATATTATCCAGTTAGACATATTACAGAACCTTCTTCACAGCTCTCTTTGAAGGCAATGGGATGTGAACAGAGGCTTACACATCTGGCTATACTGGAAAGAACACCAGCCAATTTTAACAAGCCAATGGTTTCAAACAGGAGAAACACTGTTTAGTAGCTGGTGATGCTAAGAGGTCTCCCAGGTTGATTTATTCCAGCCAGGCTCAAACAGGGTACTACCTTACATTGCCAGGATGAAAAGAGGATCACTTGGCTCACTGCTTTTCCTCAAAGGGATTTTGCCCAAACTGGTCTTGGGCACCAACCTAAGGCCAAAGCATTCTGACCATTACAGGCCATAAAGAGCCCACTGAATGCATATCTGAGAACTTCCCCATGCTGGTCTTCCTTTTCCTTGATCTATCCTACTACCTAAGCTCTTTCCAGATGTCTGCAAGCACAAAGGAAATACCTAAATCATCTTTTGTTAAGATAACTGGTTCTGAGGATTAAGAGTTAGGGCCATAAAAATTCAAAACCTCTACAACTTTTCCTTTGCTCAGGAGTCACACCTATAACATGGGCAGCTCAAAGTTCAATATGCCTTAATGGAGCCCCCCACCACTTTAGCAGTCAATATACCACACAGTCCTCATTATGGAACCAGCTTTAAAGATGACACAGAAATCCTAATTTCTACTCACACAGAATTTAGGGGAATACTGACCCTATGGCCAGGACCAATGATATTACAGCAGATGATTTTCCAGCTCAATAGGAAGAATGAATAACTAAATCCTAGGGGAGTCCAGACTTTGTCTTAGCATGTAATCTCTCTAACTTTTCTGCACTCAGGAGAATTTCTCCAAATCTGTAAGTTCAAGACAATATATTCACAAAAAGAGAGCAGAATATGTATTTTTTCTCTCACTGCTGCAAGAGTCTGTATGGGCTGTTATCAGTAGCTGCTTTCCCTGCTCTTGACAATCACTGTCTAATGCTTGAGAGTGGGACAGAATGCCCTGTGTCAACCTGGTGGACACCTCACAGCTCTTTAACACTTCTCCCTTCTCACACTTCCACCCTAATTTGAAACCTAACCAGATCTCTAAATGTGGCCAGACAGAGCCACATCTGAGAGCCAGCTTGAAGGGCTGAAGTTTTATTTCATCTAAGAGGAAAAACCCAGGCAAGCACATAAACAGACGAAGAAGCCATTTCTGTGATTTTATACACCTTCCATAAGTCATGCTCCAGGAGCACTGTGTTACAATCCCACACTTTGATAAACCTTCTCCTTCAGCAAAACACTTAAGCACAATATTTACCCTTAACTGGGCTCCATACACTCAGCACGTGGGTGAATGGGGCTTTTCCCATGCATTCCTGGACAAGTGTTGGTTAGCCAACATGTCATCTTTCCACCCAAGGCTGCCATCAAGATGTTATTATCAACTCTTCCACTCACAATAATCTGCCTTTCTTCCTTTTTTCAGCTATGCCAGATATTTGTAAAGCCACATGTCTGTACATCTAGTCTATTTTAGCTTAATAACCAAAGACAAAAAATCCCCCAATGTCCTTTGACATGATTTTTTTCAGGGCTGAGGTCTAACTTGCTAACTGGCTGACAGTCTGCCCCTTGTGTTCTGTGAGGGTCTTTCTCAACAAGCTGCTTGACTCAGCAGTTTAAAAAGTACTCCCAAAGGCTTCCCAAAGGGAAGGAAAAACATGGCATTTGTGTGACACATACTTGGCAAATCACAAATATGTGCACATGCATATCACATCAGGACAAGCTGCATGCCTCAGCCAAACAGGCCCAAATTAACCCAAATTAATTTCCAGGCTGTGAAATGACACTCAGCACCCTTGTGGACTTACACACTGCTGCCTCTGCATTTTGTTATGTGTTTAACATGCAGCCTGAAGTGCTCTGCATTCTGGCACTGCAGGAACGTGGTGGCCACGCTGGATGTGTCCCAAGATCGAGGTTAGGGACAGCCATGAGCAACCACTCAGTGCTTATGCTGATCTTCTAAATACTGACAACAACGTTTTGATTACAGGATTCATTTACTTGTGGTCCTAATTTGGGGTTGGGAATTTCAGCAAATTGATTTGGTCAAACAAGGCTGCTTGGGTTGTTCTGTCTCGTGTACCACAGTCCTGGCTGAGCAGGTACCAGCTACAAGGCAGCTTGAGCCTCCTGCTGCTTCACAATTACTGTTCCACAATTACAACACAGGAATTTCTGAGGCACTGATCTACTGAGAATGGTCTTTGTCAATGAAATTTGAACTGTGACTAAAATTCCATTCTCACAGCCCTGTTTTGGCAGCTAATATGATAATGATTTCTTGTCAAATTGGTAGCAACAGACCATTAAGATATATGTTACACACTCTGTATTTTATAGTTACATTTGTATTTACCCCAAAAGTATTTTCATCTTCCAGTAGCCTGCCAGCAGACTTGTTTCCCTTGAAAGCTGTCCCACTGAACATTATCTATATTTAAATTCATTTAAAAACTGCCTAAATCCATTGAGACGGCTTTATCCTCTACACCCCAGCCTGTGCATTTCACCATCCTCAAGAAATTTAGGATCAAAGATCAAGAATAAAATCTATTTAAATGTTCCTCTTGTCTGATACATAAACTAGTATGACTCAGAGCCCACCTACCAAAGAATCGAACTTTTATGCACAATGAATTATGAGTTGTACAAATCATGGTATTTTGCAACTGTTTTGCTTTAGACTGCTTGGCTCTTCCCCCACAAAAAGTGTATTTTTAGACTACTATATTAAATGGGTAAAGAGAAACAAGAATGAACAAAAATATTTCTCTCCTTCATAGCAAATGGATTATATTTAGAGGGAAGTATTCTGCATGACTCTAACTTCTGAGGGGCTTCTGGTATGCAGAATTTCTGCTGGGATCTCTAGGTTAATCAAGTACAAAAACGGAAACTATGATATTTTTCCACAGAGAGGACAACAAATGCTCCTTGAGTAGTATCCAAACAACCAGCACATGCCATACCCAGATTTATCTGTCTTTTGCTTATTGAAGACCACAGCTGGTTTACCAGGGTGAAAATCCCATCCTTTTTTATCAAGCAGCCAATGCAACAAAATATATTAACAAGAGAAAATTTAATAGATTGCCCGAAATATTTCCATTTGTTAAGTCCACACATGTGCTGCACTCACAATCTATCTGCAGAATACTTTATGGATCTCCAGTAGGAGATTAACAGTAATTTATAACATTCAGAGGAACCAATGGGTCTGAAAAAAGAATGAGAGCACTGAAGTATTCCTCATTTCCTACAGAACATACATGAGACTGAGAAAGCCCCCATTCTGGGTATTATTTTTTGGTTTTAAGGAATATTAGTAGTATAGGGATGACCTTATTTTTCCCATATCAGTATAGATTATCATTACAAGACTAGTTAGCAAATTAGAGATTTTTGTAGAAGACACTAATAATTTTTCCATTATAATTAATTTAACGGAATGAGATATTTGTACCCAAAAAATCCCAATCAACAAACAACCCCCAAAAAACCTAAACTACCAGCCTCCCCACAGAAAAAAAACCCCAAAAACCAAAATAATAAATAAAAAAAAAAAACCCAGAGAACACCCCCAAAACCAAAGAGTTTAATAAAACTGAAAGATTCTGCTTGAGTCTTTGCAGCTTGCCTGAGAGAGAATTCTTTGACTCCCCTTAAAACCAAGAGAGAAAGTTATATTTTTTTGTTAATATTTCTATCTGACATGAAGCCATCATTTCTAATGACTGAAATGATGGCCACAGATATAGACAGGCACTGCTGCTCTATCCATTGGTTTCATTGTTCCTTCTATATCCTGAGTTAGTACAAACACAGTGCAAACCAACAGATTTCAAGATAAGGGTCAGGCTGATAAATGGTTGCCCCCAAAAAGCCAATATCCTTCCCCAATGTCAATGACTTGGTGCTGAGCTCTGAATGCAGATATAACCTCAAACCTCTTTATTCATCAGAGTATAGGAGTAAAAGAATCTAAAAAGGGAAAGAACAAGTCACAAAGGAAACATAAGATGAAAAATTGGGTATTTAATGTAAGATACAAAGAACAATTTTAGCATTAAAAATGCATGAAGAGAAACATCGATATCAGTTCATTACTTTTCCCTTGGAAAAACATAAATACAAATGTCTCATTTGTATTTTGTTTGTAGTCTGATTTCTACATACAGCAGGATGTTTTTATTGCAACATCAGCTCTGTTTGATCACATACATTTTTGAATCATTCTTATTTGGAACACAAAAGGAACTTCACTTGCTATCTGCTCAAAAGCTGCTCTAGAAGAAATCTCTCTTTTTTTGTTTTGTCCTGACAAGCAACTTTCTTGTGTGCTTATTCCTGTGCAGCCACTCGCCAAAGAAACTCAATTTTACAAGGAAGAACTGGTTAAAAAAAAAAAAAAAAAAAAAAAAAAGTAAAAAAAAGCTGGTGTTTATGAAGCATAATTACATTCAGAGAGCTCAATATAAAACCTCACGGATCAAAAAACATTAGTTCAATTATCCAAGTTTCAAGTCCGATTACAAATATTCATGTGAAGATAATTACAGCACAGCTGTCAGTTCTAAAAAGGCCTGCTGTACATAATGAATTGTCCTCTTATGGCTTATGGAATGAAGGGAAGTGTTATTAGCCAACTTTTGTAATATACATATTACAGCAGGAGAAGTTATCTCTCACTAAACCAAAAAGGACTGAGAACCAGTCATCTTTATGACAGAAAAAGCAGAAGTTTAATAACATAGAGTAATGTTAATTTATAATTTGCCATCCCAATAACTGTGCTTTCATAACGGGTCTATCCCTTCAAGAAGCATGACTAGATGTGAATTTCTAATTATAAGGACTATAGAATAAGTCATACAGACTCTAGGAGGAAATCAAAGCAGCATTAAGTTCTGAAGACATTGTTAGATCCAGGAGCAATTTCACTAAAATGGAATTTGAATGCTCTAGAAGTGATCTGTCATTCTGTAGAACCCAAGGGAAGTTGTATCAACTAAATATGCACCTTATTTACAATTTTTGTACATTCGAATGAAAAAGCCCATTCAATCCATCAGTAAAATTGCTCCCCACCTTTGTGTGTCTTACAAACTTAATTTAACACTGGATTCATTTGGAAAATCTCTCGACACGAGGTACAGCGTTTTAAACACAATGATTTGGAATCAAATGAAATGGATGTGGGTGGGCAAGCCACTTCTTTTCCACTGTCTCACTTTTACAACGTAGTGAAAAGCAAGAATAATGCTACTGACTTCTTTTTGCAACGCACCTCCAGGTCTACAGGTAAAAATCTAACTGAAAAAATCTCTCTGTTAAATCCAGATATAAAATCCAGGTGACATTAAAGGGAAATTTTCCAAGAAGGAGAAAAGGTCCATATTAAGCTTTTCTAACCAGAACACTGGACCTTTGTTATGAAAAGCTGACTGGTTCTGAATGCATTTTCATCAGCTCACTAAAGGGCACTGGTACAGATCTGCCTCTTCCTCAGACTGCCCATTTTGTTCCTGCTCTAGCAAGGTACTTCACATACTTTTAACTGAAAACATTTCTCTTATTAATTTTAATTGAAACTATTCAAATGTTTGATGTTCCCCCTCATTAAGTCATTTGCTGGAACAGGAAAAGGACAGTATCAGGCACACTATGTCTGCCCATCTCCCAGGGGCCAAGAGAACAAGAAATTCTATGTCATATTAAGAGACTAAAATTCCTCTTTTGTGGCCAGAATTATCTATGAGCTGCTATTGTTGGTCATTCTTGATCAAAAGAAACCCTCATAAATTGCACCTAGATTCAACAGAAGATAACCAAGAAGATGGCTTATACAAATGGCCCTGGAACAGTTTGCAAAAGAGGTGTGTGACATAAAGGGGAAGATTTGGAATGGTGCATACTACTTGTTTCTATCTTTGGTCACATGTAAGGAGCTGAAAATTATCAACCTATTTGGTCCCTTGGTTGAAAGAATTTTTTTTGGCACAGGTTCAAGCCTCAATGCAGCAACCTCCAGACCTCAGAGCAATATAACATTCAATCCCTGCACAGATTTGGTTTCAGTTAATCTGTAGTCTGCTCTTGTAGCAGGGAGAGGTAGAATTTGGCTGTAACATATTCACAAAGCACAGTCAAATTAAGCTCTTTGGTGTACCACATAATCACAAGTAATTATTGTATACATACTTGAAAGCATATTCTCATTATGTTCAGCACATGGAACCCCCACTGACATTAACGGGAATTCCATGCCTGAATGTAAAAGACACCCATGTGTGTGGGTTTGGGTTTTGTGTGTTTTTCCCCTATTTTTGAGAGTAACAATAATCTTGTAATGAAGACTTCGCCTTGGGTCTTGAAAGACCTGGGTTCAATCTGCCACTAGGTTCTTGTGAGACTTCAAGCAAGTAATTTCATTTTTCTAATCTCTGTTCCACAAACAGTAACAAATACTACTTCCTCACCTCACCCGCCCTTCTTGCCCTCTCTATCTTCTTCCTGTTTGAAACTCTGGACTTAGCCTGCAACTTTTCATCTGCTTGTTCTTGTGCATGAGGGGCACAGATTTCACTTGACTATTCAAAGCACTATCAGAGTAGAGACAATAAAAATAGCCTTGTAATGATGTTCAAATACATGTTAAAAACCCTGAACAACCACCAGATTTGGCAATGTCAAAAGAAATTTGCTTCAGACTTTTTGGTGTCTAAGGCCACTACACTTTCAGTATTTGCCCTATTGCTTTCAAACAGTTTTTAGCAATTGTCACAGGCACCAGCATTAGATCTAAGAGAGAAAAAAGCCTTTGATTTTCAGTTGATTATCTAAAGGCATGGGAGCCAGTAAACACACATCACAAAAATCAATGACAGCACACGGCATAAATCCCAAGTAAAAGACATTCTTCTAGAAGAAATATTACTCAATCTGGGCAGAAATTATTCTCAAAAAGGACTATATCTTAATCTATACATCCTCTTATTTGGCTTCTAGAAGAAATATTACTCAATCTGGGCAGAAATTATTCTCAATAAAGAACTATATCTTAATCTATACATCATCTTATTTGTCTTGAAGACATCCTGGTAATAAAAAAAACCACACAGGTATGCTTTGACAGCTATTCTTTATGATCCTCCAGAAAACATCATCAATGGTATTTATACTTGGAGGGAAAAGGCAGAGATCAGCCCAATATTCATAAAAACAATAGAAGAGTATAGTTAGTACTGTTGGAAAGAATGTCAGCAAGCACCCTCGCTATTTGGTTAGCTTAACTCTGAAAAGCAGGAGAGAAGCCAGAACAATATACATTTGCAGGGGTTTATTTTGACAATGTGTTTAGCTGTTCAGTTGTTTCAGATCTTTTTCCTCCTCAAATGCCAGTACTATTTTTTAAAGGCTGATCTCAGGTATTAAACAACAACCAGCTTAAAAAACGGTACAGTAGATCTGAAAACAGCAAACTACTGGTGGGATTGCTTCTAAGAGGGAAGGGTCCATGGAAACTGCTGTTTAAGTTGGCAGGACACCTCTACTTCACAGTAGAAAAAAATGTTCCTGTTATAAAACACTCCTCTTGTTAGCAAGTGCTGCACATAAAGGGGCAGCTGTACTTTGCTTACCTCGCGTGTGACTCTTCCGTTGTTATCAAAGTCATACAGTGTGAAGGTCCATTCTTGCCTGTTATCTTCCTCTACAGACACATCACATTGCAATTCCTAAGAAACACGCAAAGAGCAGCTGATTACCTAAAGCAAAAGGCCTGTTTGCAGAGAAGACTCTCTGTAGCAGACTGCTTGCTTTCTTCCCTCCTCCCTCCCTTGAGGGAGGAAGCTCTCAGGGCATATCCCAGAGAGGTCTCTGTCCATCACAACAGAGGTCCCATCATAATCACACAACATGCCTAACTCTCCGGGCTACACCTCAGGGAATTCACAACTTGCTTTCTACTACACTGTAGAAAAGAGGAAAAGGTACAAGAAGACTATTATTCCCTGAAGCTCTTGAAACATGGTAAGATTCCCCACTAAAATGTGAGAAGGAAAACTATGCTTAACTCAGGAAGAGGAAGACAACAGAAGCAGACTGACAGAGAGAGGTGGCAAACCACAGAGCCAGGAGTAAGGATTAATGCAGTGTGGACACAGATCCCCACCAGAGAGACCTGTCCTCAACACTGATATTTGGTGGGCAAAGGTTGTCAGAATTAGTGCAGTACAATATCACGCCACTGAAGCTCCTGAAACAGAGCCTGCCTTGGAACTGGCAAGAACAACCTGGGAGTAGTGCCTGCTCCTTGTTTTCACTATGCTTCTGTTAGTGAGAGTGTGATCTGTGGAAACCTGAACGAATCAATTTGTTAAAGGGGAAAAAAATCCCCAAACCAAAACCAAGAACAAAGGATGCACTTTGACTGACTCCAATCACCTGGGCGCAAATCATTTGCTGTCTCTCAAGGCATGTGCAATCAGAATTATCCAGAGCCACAAAAAGGCAAAACAGAGAAGTTACAGTGCAATTAAAATGAAAGTCACTGTATGCAAGTAAAATAAACAGCCCCAAATAGCTTCAACATGATAGACCTCAAAACACCTGGTTGATCTTCCGACTTGAAACCAATTCCCTACAGCAGTTATGGGCACCCCGTCCCCTGCCGAGTTCAAAGGCAGCCTCCTCTCAGTTGTAACAAGCCCGGCTGAGAGCTGCCAAGTGCCCCACACTCCACTGTGGAAACACAGTTTCATATTACATAAACATTCCTGGCACCTTTAAAAGCCAAATCACTTTCACCTCAGGTTTAGACCTCTTGTCGCAGCACTCCCCTTTCTGATTCTTTTATACCTTTGAAGCATTTACCAGTCTCTCAGCTCCCAGCTTACATTGCTGGAAAACTCTCATTTGTAGAACAAGGGAAAAAAAAAATCAATACTTGGTTTCTTGCCACATATTAATACTTCCCTGTCCCACATTGCTTAACATAACATCTTTATGTGAGGATGTGCTCTGCTTAGTTAAGAGCCATGGAAACCTTCCGTGCATTAGTCACGGTGCCTAGAACCAAGTGCTAACCTTTATGGCATGCCAAGAACTACTTCGGAACAAGCACAAGCACAGACTTTGCTGGTACTGTGGAGTTCCAGCTCCTCTGGCACCAACCATGTTGACAGGTGTCCTCCAACGTTCAAATGTCAAGGCACTGTTAATTGCAATTTATCATGCCTTTCCTGTCTGCAAATGTCTGCTACTCAAGGTAGTATATAAAATAGGCCTAGAAAAAGAGTTATAGCTGTGGGGAAAAAAAAACCCCAAACCTAGGAAAAAAGAAAAGTCACCTCCCCAGAAGGCACAAAAGCAACACCAATGGGAAAATGACCTATCTCTAATCTGCTTTAAAAAAATAAAATATAAAATGGTACCAGACTGAGAAGGAAAAGAACACTCCAGCCATGCTGCAATGGTGCCTGCATGGTCTTTGAAACATCAACTGAAGAAGCACAAAGCCCATTACTTAGAGAGGCTGACAGCACCAAAAGGCTGAAGTGCAGAGATAAGTATTTGTGTTGTTTTTTGCTGGTGCCAGAATACCTTCCTCCTCATCAAGACAGACAACCCACTAGCTGGGTGACTGCATGTTTCCATACTCATATTAATGAAAACACTCCCTACAGAAACAAAACCTGCCAACTGCACACAATGTCTGACAGTTATACGATGTTATAAGATGCAAGCCTACAAGGAAATAGCCTGTAGGACTCATCACCCTCATCCTCCTGCCATGTGACCAGATGGATTTCCCATGTAGCAGGTCAGGGTTGTTTCACTTTGGAGACCTGGGCACTGAAGATCAATCATTGCAGAAACTTTCACAGGCATCTTTTACATTAGGCAGATTTAACCAACTGCAAGAGTCCACGAAAGTCAAGCTAAAGATTTGATAATATGGTAGCTGGCCTAATAAATAAAAGGTTAAACTGAAAGCTTCTTCTTACTATGCATTTCAGATCCTGCAGAGAAATAACTATCACTTGATTCTCTCCAAACCTGGAAATAAGTGTCACTAATCATCTCATTTGGAGCACTGACAGTAAGGCACTGATTTGTGCCAGTTCTGCTGCCTCCTGCACCCACTACAAACACTGGGAGCAATAAACATGCATCAGATGACACTATTTGGTCCACAGGTTATTTTTCTACCATAATTATGTCAGTACAGTGAAACTTTAAAATACAAAGGACTTACTTCAAATTTCAGTTGCTTCTTGGAACTTGTGCGTGTGTCACTTTCTTTTTCTGCTTTCTTTTCATCTCCACTGCAAACTCCATCTGTCTTCTCTGGAGGCAAAGCCACTGCGAAAAGCATATTTAAGAAAAAATGCTTATAAGGAAATGTCAAAGCAGTCTCATATTTGCAAATCTGTCTTTATATTTAGGGTGAAATTGATATCAGCAAACTTGTATGAGAGGATCATTATACTTGATTTGCTTTTGTGTTCACTACACATCTGGGATAATTTCAGCAGACAATCTACCAACAGCTTTTGGTACACAGCCTCTCCTACAATCACTAGAGTCACAGGAAGTTCAAACACAGTATTATGAGAATATAAAATAGCAGAGCTGTTACTGCAAATAAGTTGAATAATTTGCAAAATATTGAAAGTTTCTGACATACTGCAAAAACCCATCACATTCACCAGCAGTGAGTGAAGTAATGAAGCTGAAATAAAGCCCTCATTCTGTTCCAGTTTCACTCTTCAAACACACACAAAGCTTAGCACCTTCCAAGAAGGTAACACTACCTGCCAAAAAGGTTAAGCTGCATTTTTTCAATGCATGAAATAGCATATTTCACTCAAGTTTCAAGTTAAAACATAAGGCACTTGCATAAATCAACAGCACTCATAAAGAACATCAACATTAATATCTATCACAACATATCAGAACATACATCAGATATATAACAGAAAAATACATGCTTCTTGTGTGGATTAAAAGACAAATGCCTAGAACTTAATAGTTGTTCCCTAGGCTTCTGCAGGGGCATTCAGCCTTGCACATGATGAAACCCTATATCTGAAGAAAACGAATTCTATCTTCATTAGCATTATGAAAATATACACAAAGTTTTTAACCCTACCCTCAGACTTTTAGACAGCATTTTTTAAACATCCACACACCTCTGCCAACGATATGCCCACACTCCATTACTTATAGCAGCAATCCTTCCAACTCTCCAAAACCCAGCAAAGTTGCAAAACCACAGGTCCTAAAGTCGGCATTTTCTTCTGTTGCACTGCAGCATTTGCATCTACCCAAAGCCTTTATCCTAATGCTGTGTTAGGAACTGTTTCTTTGGGGTGCCTTTGGCAGTAGCATCTCATTAAGTGCCAGTTCAATCAAGTCAGATTCCTTACAAAAAAGGTGACATGATGATCCCCTCCAGTTCAGGGTGACCCATTTCAGACTGGGTTTACTGGCTCTCCTGGTGTTCCACACTGCTGAGCTGCCTCCCAAACATTCTTCCAGGAAAGCAAGTCACTAACATGCTAGAAGTTAAGATACTTCTAATTATCCATTTTCCAGGACTTTCTTTCATGTTTACAATAGAAAAATTAGCTTCAAGAAACCAACCAACCAACAACACCAACAAAAAAACAAAACCAAACCACCAGAACACAAACCAAAATAAAACTCTTACAGCTCCCACTACCATAGCTTCATACTCTCAGAAATTCCAGAAGATTTCTGCCCCAACATTCACATTGTCACACTGCACTACATTTGTTTGTCTAAATTTAACATTACTGTATTACTTTTGTTTGTTTGTTTTCAAAACTGTGGTATGCTATATAACATGGATGTACAGTAAAGAAAAGGGAATAAATTTGAAGTGCTCTGACCTTTGGTGGTTTTGAGGTTATACTAACACCAGCTTCCCAATACACACATGTAATTTGCATTATACCAATTTGATGGTGTTTATTGTACACATACTGACATGTTGATATGCTTTGATTTATACTCCAAGTCATGTTAGGATTCCTTACACCAAACATAAGCTAAGTAGGAAGGTCAGACAAAGGAAGTCAAAGCTGCTCCACAGCAGTTTCTCCCCTGATTCTTTTAAGCTGGTGTTATTGGATGAGCAGGGACTGTTTCTTAGGAGGCTTTTGTATAGTGTTTACCACAGTTAAGATGGGTATTGAAATAAATATTGTTTCTAATACATAACTTTGAAGTATATCTGACAAAGTGCTGTTTGCTTTACACTCACTTTGCCCTTTGAATACAACTCTACATTCCTAGACGTTCAAAGCTAAGGTGAAAAAAAGACCCCCATACAACACAAGACATTTGTTTGTCTACTTCAATCCAGCTTTGTTGCTTCATTCTAAAATCAACAAGAAATTAAAAGGTAATCTGGGCCTTCATAACAAGGACAGTTACACTGATAGTGGTTCTTAATAACTATCAGACACACTCCTAGATTTTCAGTGCCTTATCTGCACCAGTGACTGGTTTTTCACAAGCACAGTTATAACCTGATAAAAACTTCTGCAAAAGAGGCTTTTGCAATCCCTCCCAGTCTTGCTCTAAGGAATGTGAAATAAATGAAAGCTGGACTGGTATGACCTCTAGCTTCTTTGGGACAGTGAACAGCCATTTGAAAAAATATATCCACTCGTGTTATCACACATTCTTTTAAATGTTTAAAAGCACATGATGGCCAAAAGACTCCTACAGCTGTCTTTTATCTGTTGAGGGTCAGCATCCCTCATGACAATCCCAAACGGCAATGCATGGCAGACTGCATAAGGCATAGCACTGTGAGGCAGATCCAGCAGGAGGTGGCTATTCCCTGCCACAGTGCCCTTTGCTGGGTTTTCTGTCAAAACAAAGTGTCCAACAGAGCATTCCCTCCTTCCCACCACCATGCACTGAGCTGAAAGCCACTGGCATTAGCACCTAGCACCAGAGCCCAGCAGGTGCTGCAGAGGGGAACAGGACAGAGTTACCTTGTGCTGAAGGAGGAGCCCTTCCCCTGGTATGGTTAACAGCCTTTCTGGATGTACAGTTTGTGTGTTCAGTATAATTCACTTTCACTTTAATGTATCATTTATGTAACAGAGGAAAAATGTGCACTGACAAATTAGTCTTCTCAAAAAACAAGGGTTCAACTATTGGAGAAGGAGGGGATTCATCTTGCAGTACACTCCTTGGGAGAGTTTAAATACTGTATGCCAGAAATTATCCTCTTTGAGCTTCGCTGACCTTTGATCTGAAGAACTTATTGGCCTTGCTGCTCCAGGGAATTATCCTTTGAAATCAGTTACTCATTTTGGAGCTCAAATGAAATGGGGAAATCTGGTGATCTCATCCTGATGTCAAGTTTCGTTCAGCAAAGAAAAATGAAATCGAACTGAAGAAACTTTAAAGGGCAATATAGAGATACTAAAATAATATTAACAAGTGATCAAACAATGTGTCTCTGCATATATCCCCATATGCCTTATCCAAACCCAATGAACATTTAAAAATACATACTGTTTTGTCTGAGAAGAGAAGTGTTTGGTATCTTGCTGCTATACTTAGTTTTGACTATTGACATGTGCTCAATTTCATGAGGGATACAAACACATGCAGAGCCTACTTATAAATAAAATGAGAATGTCTGCTTGGGACAGTTAAAACTGGCAGCCTGTAAACAGAGATCCACCAGTGAGCCGCATGCCAAGGTTTCAGATACATTCACAATGTGAACTTCCTTTCAGCTCTGCCAATGATATTAAACCAGACCAGACAAGATAGCTATCTCAAAGGACTGTGGAGAATTAATAGACTTGTGTTTCCAAAGTCTAGGTCATCAGAATTAAGTCTGCATACAATACATCATCTGTGCAAAAATACTTACTTACCTCCCTGCTCAGATAACAAGTCCTGACAAAAAGAACGTGCTACATAGACAAATACACAGAGAAACATACCCTTGTTGTGGGAATCCACAACTGGAGGGGGAAAAAAGTATATGTATTGCATCTCATGGGAATAACCATATGCTCTCGAAAACAATGTTCCCTAACAGAATGTTTCATGAATTGAAATACTGCATATGTTTTCTTTATTATGTTCTTTCCTTGTTCATTATTAATGGTCTTGTATTCACTTCTATAACCTTAAGACACTATAAAAATGGGTCTGGACAATATTTGAAATTGGAAAGACAATAAAGGAAAAATATTAACTTGGAAAAATTGTGAAATACCATTCTTTCACAAAAAACAAACTCACTGGCTTAAGTGTATTAGCAGATGTTTCTCTCTACAATTGTTAATTACTACCACCCAATTGCTCATAATTGAAGTGGGGGAGGAAAAGAGTAAGAGAATGAGCACCAGTTTAAAGATATTAAGACTCATCACAGAAGAATTAAGCCTTTTTTTCAGAGTTTGGTTGTTTGTTTTTTTTTTTTTTCATTCCTAAGGAAAGGGAGTAATAATTCAAAATGCTGCTTAGGAATCACCAAAATATCCCGGAAATTAGGTAAACCGACTGCTGTGCTCTGCATATTGAATGAAGTTAGAATAGTAAGCTTCAGGCAGAAAAAATATCTTTCTCTTGCCTCTATCCTGCATCTGACAATAAGGGAGAAAAAATAAAACACCAAAATAGAGCTGCACTCAGGTGGAGAAGTGAGTGTTTAAACTTTCACCCTCACTCAGGTGGTGTGAGCCACGTTTCTCAAAGGCTCATTCCAGCAAAAGACCATGTGCTTTGTCAAATACTATGCCTTCTCAAATAAGGACAGCTTCACTCTAGTTTTCAACCATACTTTGCATTTCAGTCAGATGGATTAACAGGATCTTGAGGCCAGAACCAAAGGGTGCAACTCAGATCAATGTCCAAGTCTGGGCTACCAACTCTAAATTTTGCACAGCACTTAGGAGAACTCAGGCTAAATAGACAAACAACTTCAGAACTTCCTTGGAAGGACAGCCTTTCCAAAAGTTATGTGACTGTTGCATCACCTTAACTCAAAAAACAGAACTATGGGACAAGCTGTGCAATTCCACAGTGGTGAATTATGTCTGGACATTACCAGTGATGTCTTAACCCTATCATAATGTCAGGGTCATTACTGAGAGAAAGCAGAGTAAAGGTAGAATTGGAGAATTGACAAAAATGCCACCTATGAAAGTCAGCACCTGCCACACATGAAACCAAACCTTTGAAGTGTAATATTATTACCATTCCTCTCATTTGGGATGGAGTGGATTCCACAGCAATTTCTTAAAACTACTACCAGAAGCAAAGGGACAGAATTATCTGTAAATGCAGAAAAGAACAAA